GGGAACGATTGAGGGTCAGTTGTGAGAAATTGTGAATTTTAGATTTTTGGAGATCTTCTTCCTTTTTTTAAGTCAATACTCTGTGCCTATAACTAGTTTTGCGTACATTTTTTGAAGCATCTCTGTTTCCACTGGCTCTCCTGTGTCTCCTGTTTGTCAATGTTTTCTCTACTTTGCAAATTTTACTCAAATTATTATGTAAAAGAATGGCTAAACCCCCCAAATCAATCAACAAAGCAAACTCTGTAGTAAAGAATTTCCCTGTAACCTCATCATAAGTTATACACAAGTCCTTAATTTGAAAGGCTGATACTACTTTTGGCCACTGTTTAAGGCATGTGTTGGCACAAAGGAAACATCTTATGAATGATTGAGAAGATGGTCAGTCTCAAATTTTCAAGTTATATCATTTTGGGTTAAAGCTTTAGCTCTTATGTCTTTGGGAGTATTCTATTCCATTCCTTTCTGCCCTTTATTGTAGATGCAGAATAATGTTGTTATTCACATTTCACTTTTATATTTGGAGATCTTGCTTTTAGCCTCTTGTAAATTTTGTTGTATATCATTGAAATTGTTTATTTTAACCACTATATATCTTGGGGCTTAAAATACAGGGTTTTTTTTGTTTGTTTATTTTTCTGTTGACACTCTGTGTCTTCTTTCAGTTGGCATTTTGTTTTCTGTATACAGAAGATCTGGGATGATTTTCTTGTTATTTTCTGCATTATAGTGTGCTGTTTTTCTTGGGTCCTCATCTCTACTTTCTAAATGCTATTTCATGTGGTCTTCTCATTAGCTCCTGTGGTTTCAACTAATATTCTTCTGCAGATGATTCTTGGGTTTATTTATCCATCTCTGACCTCTTTCCTGATGTCCAGTCTTATATTCCTAACTGCCTATTAGACATTTCAAAATAGATGTCTCTTAGACGTCTTAAACTCAACGTGTCCAAAACATGTCCATTATCTTTCTCCCCAAACTCTCTCCTCTTCCTAAATTTCCTATTACTGTGGAGGGTGCCATCATCTTCTCAGTCACTCAGACTTTCAGCCTAGATGTCATTGTCAGCTCTTCACTTTGTCACCTCCCCCCGCCCCAAATAAGTTGCCAGATGTTTCCATCTTCACAGCATCTCTCCTCTGGCATTGCCACCATTCTGATGCAGACTTCCATGACTGTGTTGTTGTTCAGTCTTTTTTTAGTCGTATTCAACTCTCCATGACCCCTTTTGGGTTTTGGGTTTTTTTTTGGCAGAGATCCTGGAGTGCTTTGCCATTTCCTTCTCTGGCTCACTTTACAAATGAGGAAACTGAGGCAAACAGGGTTAAGTGACTCACCCAGGATCACATAGCTAATAAATGTCTCAGGCCAGACAAGTCTTCCTGACTCTGGGCCCCACATGCTATCCACTGTGCCACCTAGCCGCCCCGTTGAAATGGCCTACTGATTGTTCTCCCTGCTGCAAGTCTCTCCTGACTCCAGCCCATCCTCCACTTAGCATTCTAACTGATCTTCCTAAAGTACAAGTTTGGCCATGTCATCCCCCCACCCCAAATAATCAGCTCCGTTGACTCCCTGTCACCTCCAGGATGAAACCTGAAATCCTCTGGCTTTTAAAACCTCTTGTAACCTGACGCCTTCCTACCTTTGAAATCATGCTACTCCTTACACCCCCCCTGCCCACATGCTCTGACCAGTGATACTAGCCTCCTTGCTGCCTCCTGAACTAGACACCTCATCAGATTGGCTGGGAGACCTTTGCTCCTTAAGTTACTTCTACATATCTTATCTTTAAGGTCAGCTGCTTTGGCTTGTTTAGAAATCACATGCTCTTTTATCAATGCAGACCTTTTCTTTTGCTAGATTTCCCCCACTTAAGTAGTTTTGTACTCCAAATCTATTAAGCTTTCTTTCCTTTCTTTAGTGAAACTAATCTAGTTTATTTTATTTTTTATTTTGCATTGAAAGCTCTGAGTTCTGATTTCTATTTATTCCTAATTTTTTTATGAATATCATTTCTCTTTTGAACCATCCTGGAATATTTGTGTGTGTGTGTGTGTGTGTGTGTGTGTGTGTGTGTGTGTGTTCTATGCTGTCTTGGGAGTTCATAGGATTCAATATTTTGTTACTATTAGGATGTTCTGGGAAGACTGGCATCTCTGGTGAGAGGGCCTGCAGAGCTCTTTTTAGGGCTGCGCACCCACCTTTGATGTCCCATCTCTTACCCAGCTCTCACTTGTGACTCCAAGAAGCCATAGCATGTGCAGTGGCCACAGCCTGGTAAAACAATCTCGGCAGACTGGCTGAACCAAGTGGAGGGTAACCAGCAGGCCTCAAAATCATTAGGGAATTAGGGGGGTGTCTACCCCCAGCATGTGAAGACTCCCCCCAGCAGAATGGGCAGATGAGAACAATTTGTTCTAATGGCCATGGAGGCGGCTGAAGCAGGCTCTGTGGAGGGTATAGAGCTTGGTCAGACATTGAAGACGCCAAGGTCATCTGCTGCATCCCAGGCCATTGTTAAAAGAGTTTTGCAGTCTTAAAGGCTTTAAATCCTCTCCTTTCTAGTTTTAGGCTTCTTTCTGTTAGTCTATTTGTTTTGGCACCAGGATTTTGTAGATTTTTTTTAATTGAAATCTTTGTTGTTTCCACCTTTCCCCCTTAAATACCCCCTTTCCTCACTTTCTGACTTCTTATTTCTGGTGGGTACACTCTGAGGCTGAGTGGCAAAGCCGACCTGGCTTCCTCCCATATTGGACATTTATGTTTCACTGGTCTGGGTCCATGAGTAGCATCTGGGGAGACAGAATTGACGTCGACTCGATTTCAGCCCCCATTTTCTTCAGGTCTGGAGAAGTTACACATGCTGGCCCCTACCCCAGTTCCTCCCTCACATCTCTTTCTTTTGCTAGCTAGGCTGAATCAGCATCTGCCTCTTTTTTCATGATGGAGGGAGACTTGGAGGGTGTGCAAATGAGAGTCTCTGAAGTTATAGGGGTCCCTCATATATGGTGTGGCCCCAGGAAAAAGGCTGAACGTGTTCCTCCTCCTCGGATGGGGGCGCAGAATCTTTGTTTCCTATGTAACAGGGCTGGTATGTGCCTGAAGAGTCAATGCAGTAGTGAAGGAAGGAAGAATTCTATGATGGCGCCTCCACCCAAGAGTATAGTTTAGTTTGCGTATCTCTGCCATGCATGTGAGTGAACATTTTAAGGGTTAATGTTCTCGAGTGTGAGTTCATAAGGATTTTATCTTGTTGGTGTTTTCTCTTCTTTGTCCTGTAGATTCATCTGTAATTGCTCTACATCTGTTGACTAATTTTTTTTTTAATTTTGAGAATTAATGGTATCTGGAGAAAATGCACAATCAGCAATTTTGTTGGTCCTATCACCGCAATCACCCTGCAAGCTTTTTTGTATTCTTTTTTGTTGTATAATATTCCATATTTTTCTTACCTTTATGTAATCATTGTATAATCTTGTGTGATTTTTGACTGTGATTCCTTGGCATTTGGTCTTTTTCTTCCTGGCTGTTTGTAGTATATTTTCTTTGACCTGGAATATCTGGAGTTTGGTTATCACATTTGGGGATATGCTAAATTTTAGGTTGTTTTCAGGCAGTGACCTATGGATTCCTTTTATTTTAATTTTGCCTTCTGGTTCTAATAATTCTGGGCCATTTTCTTTTGTGATTTCTTGCTAGGGAGAAGATAAGGTAAAAATCTAGGCAAATTAAACAAAGAACAGAGCTTTGTGTGGAGCAGTCCACCAGAAGGGAGTAGGATGATAGTACGAGGCATAGACGACTTGGCCAGACCATTGGCTTGGGTTACATGAGCCCTGATAATGCATGTTCCTTGCTTGTGTGTCATGTAGCTGAGTTTGCCACATGTGGATGCCTACGAGTTCACCAAGTGTAGGTGCCCTATACGCAGTTCTCAAGAGGCTCTGCTCTTCCCAGTGAGTGTGAATGTATTGATAGAATCAGGATGCCCAAAGTTCTTGGCAGATTAGAGCACTGGAATGAATCTAGTAAGATATAATTCAATAGGAATAAATGTCAACTCCTGCACTTGGGTTAAAAAAAATCAATTTTACAAGTCCAGGATGGATGTGGAAGAGGGATTGGACTCGTTCAAGTCATCCTGTAATTGAAGAGTCACCTAATTCACAGTGACCTGAATTAGTCAGCATTAGAGTCAGGAATCCAACCCAGGTCTTTCAACTTTAAGACCACTGCTCATTATGCTATCTGTATAAATGTTTTTATCTCCTCTGTTAGATTGCAGGCTCCTGGAAGGCAGGAAGGATAGCAAGGTGGCTCAGTGGATAGAGCAGTGGCCCTGAAGTCAGGAAGGCCTGAGTTCAAATATGGCCTCAGCTGTGTGATCCTGGGCAAGTCACTTAACCCTGTTTGCCTCAGTTTCTTCATTTGTCAAATGAACTGGAGAAGGAAATGGCAAACCACTCCAGTATCTTGCCAAGAAAATCCCAAATGAGGTCATGAAGAGTCAGACACAGGTGAAAAATGACTGAATAACAACAACAAAGAGGGCAGAAACAGCCCTTATCTTTGCTCCTTACTCGGTTTCTAGCATTACGCTTTCCTTCATCAGGGTTTGATGGGGGGGCTCAATGGCTTTTTCCATAGCTCTGTCTGGTTTTGTGTGTGTCTCTCCCTCTTCCTCTTCCTCCTCTCCTCTTCCTCTCTCGTTCTCTCTCTTTCCCTCCTTCTCCCTCCCCCTTCTTTCTTTTCCTTCTTTTCTCTTCCTTTTCTCCTTCTCAAGTTCTCTGTCATTGTCTCTGTCTCTCATTGTCTCTGTCTTTCTGCTTATCTGTCTGTCTTTGTCACACACACACCATTTTGAGATTCTGTTAAAGGATCTCAAAACACAAACTGTTTAAAAATAATTCTTACTGCTTCCCCCCCCGCCCCGCACCCAGTACATTATTTATATAATTTATTTCATTGTTGTGTGGTATCAGATTCATAGAGGCATGTACATACTAATTTTTATTTCAATCACTAGGAGAGGTATAGCAAACCCACACAGCAGACATTTATGTGGCTTTCAAATAGACAAAAGCTGTTGAAATGAAGATAGATATGCTCAAGAGAATTTCTTAACGGAAGAGAAGAGCCCAGATCTCTACAATGATTTTTGCCTCTGAAGTGGCAGTGATTGTTTCTGGAAATACTTGATAGGTAGGTAGAAAGTGAGCAGTCCAGTGTCTATGCTGAGGAGGACCTGGAGGAGTCAAAGAGAAAACAGTTGTAAGTCTGATGGTCATGTAAACAGCATTTACTTTGAATAATGCTTGCCTAAGTTGCCATATAAGACCAACTCCATTTTATTTTACTCTAAACATTGGACATTTTTTGGACAATGATCTCTCTTTCTCTGTCTCTCTCTCTCTGTCTCTCTCTCTCTCTCTTCTCTCTGTCTCTCTCTCTCTGTCTCTCTCTCTCTCTCTGTCTCTCTCTGTCTCTCTCTCTGTCTCTCTCTCTCTCTGTCTCTCTCTGTCTCTCTGTCTCTCTCTCTCTCTGTCTCTCTGTCTCTCTCTGTCTATATATGTGTATATATATATATATGTAATTTCTCAGAGATGGATAGTTCCTTCTTGTTCCTTCTTGGCGGGAAGGGGGTAAGGACTAGATAGGTATTGGACCTATGAATTTATTGTTATAGGGAACTTCGGAGGGGGGGGAACCTCTCCCTATTAAGGCAAGTCAGGGTAGCTAGTGGTGCATTGGATTTAGTGCTGGACCTGGAGTAAGGAAAACCGGAAATCAAAACCAGCCTCAGATACTTGCAAGTTTTGTGGCCCTGGGCAAGTCACTTAATGTCTGCCTCAGTTTCCTCATCTGTAAAATGGGGGGTAATAATAACACCCATCAGGGTTATTTTGAGGGAAAGAATGAGATATTTGTAAACAGATTTACCAACATTAAAGTGCTAAATAAGCGTTAGCTAGTGTTATGATTGAGTCAGCACCCAATATCTCTATCACTTGCCACCTCAAAGAGTTGATTGGAGCCCTGGGAAGGTAAGTCACATAACATAGCCAGAATCTGTTGGGGGTGAGACTCGAACCCAGGTCTTCCTGACTGAAATTCAAGGCCAGCTATCTATTACAACACATTGCCTCTCTCTATTTGGATAGTGTACCATAGTATCTAAGCATATATAAACTGAAATATTTTTCCCCTTTCTTCCTAGAGAAGGATAAATGTGTTCTAATAGTGTTTGTCTTTGAGTCATGTAAAATCTGAGTTTGAATTCTATCCCTGACACTTGCAAGCTGTGTGACCATGGCTTCCTTTCCTCCTCTAGAAAGTGGTAGTAATGATACCTGTGGTACTTACCTCAAAGGGCTATCATGAGACTCAAATAAAATAATTTGAATTTTGCAAAATTTAAAGCATAATGTAAATATTGACTATTATTTCTTAAGATATCCTCCTTGGACTTTGCCGTGGCCATCAATGTTATTGCCATCTTCCCTTCTTTAGTATCTCACATTCATTCTGATAGCAAAATAAAAATACAATTAAAGAAATGTGGTCCCTTGCTATGAAGGAAAGACTCCCTGGCTGTATCCTTAATAGTTCTGTTGACTGTATGTATGCATTACAAAAATATAAAGTGTTTTATATCTTTTGTTCCAAAACTAGTTCTTAGGAATTTGGGTTTCTAGTAGAGCCCCAATTGAATTCTATCAACTCTTCCTTTGAAACATGTCAAGAGTTGTCCCATCTTCTTTCTTTTCACAGCCAGAATCAAGACCAAGCTACAGCATTTCTTACCAACTACAGCAGCCTTCTCATTTGGCCCAAGTCAAATGTATTTTATCTTTGTCTTTTTTGGTGGGGAGGGGTGTGGACCTGTGATTCATTGGCTGTAAGTGTGGAAACTCCCTAAAGCCATGCAGAGTAGCAAGTTTGTAGCTGCACAAAAGGGCTGTTATTTGCCATAGGTCACACCATCAGTATGCGTCAGTGACAAGATTTGATCTGACAATGATTCTGTGTCCATTGTTCCTATCATCTCGTAGATAGCAATGAAGATGATCTACTTCCTCCCTTCTTCTTATCATGATAGCCTGGTCTTTCCGCTAAGTGAAAGTGAGTCTTGTTCTCTGCCTATAGGTGGCCTTGGGGGCTACGTGGCCACCACTCCACTTTCCTCTCTGTCTTCATATCCAGATTCCCTATTGAACTCTATGTGGGACTGATGGCATTTTCTTCTTTGGTTTCAATATCTTTTTCTTACAAGAAATCTTCAAAATTAATTTTCTCAATGAACAGTTGGTCATTTGGTTAATTTTAATTCATAGGAGGTGGAAAAGATCTTAAAAGCCATCTGGTCCACCACTCTAATTCTATAAATGAGGAAATGGGGGTGGAAAGGTGACTGAGTGGTCAGGGTGACAGAGCTAGAAGATATCTGAGGCAGGTGATGGAACCAGGTTTTCCTGACTCATCAGTCATAGATTGTGAGCTGGAAAGGACCCCGGAAGATAACGAGTCCAACCAATTTGTTTTATAGGTGAGGAAAGGGAGAGCCAGGGGTCATTGCTTAAGGTGAGGGCAAAGGAGGGGTTTCTTTAAGGACTGGGGATGATATCAGGTGGTAGGAAGGAGCCAGTGGATGACAGGGAAAGACTGAAGATTAGAGGGGGGGGGAGATCATTATTGACAACATCTGCCAGAAGGAGAGTAAGCATATGAGTAGGGGATTGATGGTCTTGGTGAGGAGAACAACCGTGTTGTTAGAAGGGTGTGATGGTTAATGTGATGACTGTCTCCTTCACATGGTGATTGAGTACTAGAGGGGCTGCATTCAGATCTTGGCTCTTCTGCTTATCACCTGTGTGATCTTGAGCAAATCACTTATGCTAGGCCTATGTTTCCTCATCTATAAAACGAGGGGCTCATGTGCTCCCTTCCAGCTTGGAATCCTAACTAATACTCAATGTTATAAAATCATAAGTTGATATAATTGCTGAGCATATTGGATTTCAGGATTTTTAGGAGACTGATGATTTTTTTTTCCTCTAATGGCTGCCAGCACTATCATTTACCTTTTTTGGGAATCCATAAAATATTCCTCTATGTTCTTTTCAAGGGTTTCCCTCTACAGCGGTGGTATTCACTGCAGAACTGGTAGCTGTATCTGCTGTCGAGCTCTGGTCAGGGCTGGTACCACTCTCTGCAGTGGCAGCCCCTTCGGTGGTGACATCTTCTGTGGAGGTGATAGCATCGGTGGCACCTGAAGAGGTGGCTTCTGTGCCCAAAGTTGTGGCCCCTGTGCTGGCAGCATTGGTAGTAGTGTTGGTGACATCTGTGATAGAGACTGTGGTGTCCACTGATGTGCTGGTGGCCTCAGAAGCTGTTGTGGTAGAGTCTGCTGCACTTGTGGTCTCTGCAGAAGTGGTAGCAGCAGTGCCCAGCGTGGCTGTGGCTCCTGTGGGAGGGGAGGTGGATTCTTCTGCTGGGGTGGAGCCATCAACATCTGAGGTAGTGACATCAGTCGCTAGTGAAGTTGTTTCATCTGTTACAGGGAGAGTGGTACCCTCTATAGCCAATTCAGTAGTGATTGCATCCACGGAAGTTGTTGCTTCAGGGGATGATGCGACAGTGTTATCCTCAGTGGTCAATGCAGTGGCTTCAGTGGTTGTGGCTCCCATAGTGGCAGTGGTGGTATCTCCCACAGTGGTAGTGGTGGCTCCTGTAGTGGCAGTAGTAGTGCCTCCTGTGGTGGTAATGGTGGTGGCTCCTATAGTAGCAGTGGTGGCTTCCACAACTCCAGTGGTGGACTCATCTGCTGAGGTTGAGGCATCAGGCTCAGAGGTTGATGCTTCAATAGCTGGGGTGGTGACTTCAGTTCCTGGTGAAGTTGATTCATCTGTTGCAGGGAAAGTAGTACTGTCAATAGCTGATTCAGAAGAGACCTCATCAACTACAGTCGAAGATTCAGATGTTGAGGTGTCAGTGACTGGAGATGTGGCAACAGTGGCAGTGGTAGTCCCCGTCGTGGCAGTGGTGGTGGCCCTCGTCATGGCAGTGGTGGTGGCTCCTGTAGTGGCAGCTGTGGAGACTGTGCTACCTGACACAGTAGTCCTCATTCCAGCTAAAGTAGTAGTGGCTCCAGTAGTTGTGATGACCAAATATATTTGGGCATCAGTTAAGGCATCAGGTTCTTCTGTGACTCCAGCAGAAGTGGTTGGCACTATCTGAAGTGGTCTTTGACCTCCTGGATGTTTATGAGGTTGACGTGGATGGCTTGGGTGTGGGTGAAGACGGGGTGCTGAATGAGATCCTGAATGGTAAGGTTTTGTAGGATGAAGACGGGATGGTAGAGGGTGAAGGAGTTGGGATATGTGTGATGGAGGCCTTGGAGCCTTTGGCTTAGAAAATGAGACAAGTTTATGTGATGGAGCTTTGGCATTGGGACGTGGAATAGCCTTGGAAGGTCTATGTTTCTTGTGTGGAGCTTGGGCATGTGGAGCTTTCTTTGGTGGATGTTGGAGCACTTGAGGTCGTTTTGGTGTATGCTTGGGCCATGTTGGTTTGTTGGTGGGTCGAGAAGGCTTACGGGTGGGCTTGTGCCTTCGTGATGGTTTGTTGGCAGGTTGAGAAGGCTTGAGAGTGGGGTTGGGGCTTCTTGTTACTTTGTTGGAGGGCCAAAAAGGCTTGTAGGTGCCTTTGGAGCTTCTCACTGGTTTGTTGGTGGGTTGAGAAGACTTGCGGGTGGGCTTGGGGCTTCTTGTCACTTTGTTGGAGGGCCGAGAAGGCTTACGGGTGCTTTTGGAGGTTCTCACTGCCTTGTTAGTGGGTTGAGAAGGCTTGTGGATGACTTTGGAAGTTCTCACTGCCTTGCTGGTGGGCCAAGAAGGCTTGCGGGTGACTTTGGAGCTTCTCACTGCTTTTTTAGATGACTGAGAAGGCTTGCGGGTGACTTTGGAGATTCTCACTGCCTTGTTGGTGGGTTGAGAAGGCTTGTGGGTGACTTTGGAATTCTCACTGCCTTGCTGGTGGGCCGAGAAGGCTTGCGGGTGACTTTGGAGGTTCTCACTGCCTTGTTAGTGGGTTGAGAAGGCTTGTGGATGACTTTGGAGATTCTCACTATTTTGTTGGAGGGCTGAGAAGGCTTGCGGATGACTTTGGAGATTCTCACTATTTTGTTGGAGGGCTGAGAAGGCTTGCGGATGACTTTGGAGATTCTCACTGCTTTGTTGGAGGGCTGAGAAGGCTTGCGGGTGACTTTGGAGATTCTCACTGCTTTGTTGGAGGGCTGAGAAGGCTTGCGGGTGACTTTGGAGATTCTCACTATTTTGTTGGAGGGCTGAGAAGGCTTGCGGGTGACTTTGGAGGTTCTCACTGCTTTGTTGGAGGGCTGAGAAGGCTTGCGGATGACTTTGGAGATTCTCACTATTTTGTTGGAGGGCTGAGAAGGCTTGCGGATGACTTTGAAGATTCTCACTGCTTTGTTGGAGGGCTGAGAAGGCTTGCGGGTGACTTTGGAGGTTCTCACTGCTTTGTTGGAGGGCTGAGAAGGCTTGCGGGTGACTTTGGAGATTCTCACTGCTTTGTTGGAGGGCTGAGAAGGCTTGCGGGTGACTTTGGAGATTCTCACTGCTTTGTTGGAGGGCTGAGAAGGCTTGTGGATGACTTTGAGATTCTCACTGCTTTGTTGGAGGGCTGAGAAGGCTTGCGGGTGACTTTGGAGATTCTCACTGCTTTGTTGGAGGGCTGAGAAGGCTTGCGGGTGACTTTGGAGATTCTCACTGCTTTGTTGGAGGGCTGAGAAGGCTTGCGGGTGACTTTGGAGATTCTCACTATTTTGTTGGAGGGCTGAGAAGGCTTGCGGATGACTTTGAAGATTCTCACTGCTTTGTTGGAGGGCTGAGAAGGCTTGCGGGTGACTTTGGAGGTTCTCACTGCTTTGTTGGAGGGCTGAGAAGGCTTGCGGGTGACTTTGGAGATTCTCACTGCTTTGTTGGAGGGCTGAGAAGGCTTGCGGATGACTTTGAAGATTCTCACTGCTTTGTTGGAGGGCTGAGAAGGCTTGCGGGTGACTTTGGAGGTTCTCACTGCTTTGTTGGAGGGCTGAGAAGGCTTGCGGGTGACTTTGGAGATTCTCACTGTTTTGTTGGAGGGCTGAGAAGGCTTGCGGATGACTTTGAAGATTCTCACTGCTTTGTTGGAGGGCTGAGAAGGCTTGCGGGTGACTTTGGAGATTCTCACTATTTTGTTGGAGGGCTGAGAAGGCTTGCGGGTGACTTTGGAGCTTCTCACTGCTTTGTTGGAGGGCTGAGAAGGCTTGCGGGTGACTTTGGAGATTCTCACTATTTTGTTGGAGGGCTGAGAAGGCTTGCGGGTGACTTTGGAGATTCTCATTATTTTGTTGGAGGGCTGAGAAGGCTTGCGGGTGACTTTGGAGGTTCTCACTGCTTTGTTGGAGGGCTGAGAAGGCTTGCGGGTGACTTTGGAGATTCTCACTATTTTGTTGGAGGGCTGAGAAGGCTTGCGGGTGACTTTGGAGATTCTCACTGCTTTGTTGGAGGGCTGAGAAGGCTTGCGGGTGACTTTGGAGATTCTCACTATTTTGTTGGAGGGCTGAGAAGGCTTGCGGGTGACTTTGGAGGTTCTTGATGCTACTGCGGGTTTCTTTGCAGGCCAAGACTGCCTTGATGTAAATTGAGAACCTGTGGACTGTTTGGAGGATATCCTAACTGATTTGGGCCCTACCTTCAAAGGAGACATCTGTTTCCATGCTGGAGATGACTTGGGAACGATCTGGTTAGATAGAGCTACCCTTGATGCAGCTTGAACTGGAACAGAAGACCTTCTTACTGCCTTCAGGGAAGATGATGATTGGGCTTGTGGAGCCTGAGAACGTGAAGATGTAATCTTTCGAGGAACTCCAGCTACAGATGAGGCAGTTGCATGTGGACGAGGCTGAGATTTCCTGGATGGGGATTGAGCAGATGATGGTCTACTTCTCAAAGTTCGAATTGGATTATTTTGGACAAATTTATTGGGTGTTTTCTGTGTTCTCTGGCTTTGCTGACTCTCACTTAACTGTAAGAGAGAAATAAAAGGTATTCCTTCATTTAACAAGCATTTTTTAAGCACCTACAATATGCCAGACATTGTACTAGGCACTAGTGATGCTAACGCAAACATCAAACACTTTGCCCTCAAGAGGCTCATATTCTTTTGGGAGGTGATGGTTGGGAGACCACATGAACACAGATAAATCAATACAAAATATGCATAAGGTAAATATGGAGAGAATCAGGAAAGGTGACGCTTGGCTTGGGTCTTGAGGGAAACTAAGGATTCTTTGAGATGGAAGTGAGGCTTATGTTCTAGGCCAGGGGTTGGGGAACCTGTTCTAGGCCTTGGGAATGCCTGTGGAAAGACACAGGAGTGGTATTTGGACAGCAAACACACCAGTTTGGCTGCTTCATTTAGTGAGGAGCGTGCAACATAGAAGAGCAATGTACAGTAAGTCTGGGAAGGTAGGCTGGATCCATATCACAGAAGGCCAGGGAAGTTTGTGTTGATCTCAGAGGCAATAGGATAATGGGATGTGTGCTTCGGATAGTTTCTATTTTATGAAGATAATGTTTTTGAGTCCCTGCTCCTAAAATCCCAAAGGCAGTGGGGGATTGTTCAGAGAAATGACAGAGGCAAACCTGGTCTTTAGGAATATCAGCTGATGTTTTGAAGTAGTTGGTCGTAGGCCCTGGAGTAGTTAGTATTTCATTACTGACTCGGGGAAAGGTCTTACTCATTCAGTTGATTGAAATCTCCATTGTGATATGGCTGAAATTCGCAAGATCAGCTTATAACCCAATATGGCTTTGAAAGAAAATGTGTCTAGTTTAATGGCCATGGCAGAGTATGGCAACGACAGAAGACTCATCTCTTCTATTGTGTTTTTTTCCCTAAGGTGAGGGGAAATATCTCAGTGGGTAGACAGCTAATTGAAGGGCAGATTGGTATTCCTGACAATCATCCTTCCTTCCGCCTGTCCTCATCTACCTGCACGACCTCCTGACAAACAAATCCTGTAAAACTTTCCAGAGAGCCCTCTTTCAAGGACACGTGGCATATTAATCATCCTCTAGCTCAATAGTCTTCCAACTTTTTTGATCATGCACCCCATTGGCAAGACATTTTTGAGCACTCACTCCTAACATGTGTGTGTTTACCTATTTATAAATTATGTGAAACAAATTTATAAAGTATTCATTAAACACTTATGTGCAAACTACACATGTATGTGTGTACCATGCTTATAATTGTATACATTATAAAATATGCAAGATATAAATTAAACAAAAATGAGATTGGTGAAATAATACTTAATCCCTTTAGAGGTGTTAGAGAACCATTGTAATTTACTGTGTAGGAGAGTAATATAGTCAGACCTAAACATTAGGCGGCTAAGTAGGGGTGGGCTGTAGAGAAGAGAGATGCCCTACTGGCAGGCAGACAGTTCAGGTGAGAAGTTGTTAGACCTTGAACTAGGGTGTCAGCTGTGTGAATAAATAGAAGAGTACGGTTTTGAGGATTGTTGTGGAGGTAGAAATGCCTGGGCAACTAACCGTGTAGGTGGGGAAAGGACGAGTGTGGAGCTAGAGATGTTACATGGGTTCTGAACCTGGGAAGGATGGTGGCTCTTTCAACAGAAATTGGCAGGTTTGAAAGAGGGGACAGTCCTTTTTTTTTTGGAGGTAGTGGAAGGAAAGAAGGGGAAGAGAATGTAGTGAAATCTTTGATGGGGATCACAAGAGATTTAGCTTCTCCAAAACATCAGAACTTACTGGAAAACAACTGGTAAAGGCCAAAATGAGTGCAATCAGGATTGGAGTCTTCATCCTGTCTTTCTGGCCCCTGCAAGTAAGAAGCAGAAGAATTCTCTAGTAATGGTGTGACAATGAATAATTAACTCTGATCAAGTTGCTTTTAGGTCTAAGATTACAATTTCAAAAGTCATCCTAAGAATCCACATACAAGATGATTTCTCTAACACAATGTAGAAACTTTAAAATTACCCTACATTAAAATGCAGATTGAAAATAATTATCTTGTTCCAAAGCACACTTATTATACTGTTGATTCAATGATGAAGCCTTTTGTGTTAGGGGAAGGGGGGGAGTGGTCATAGGACCACTCAGGTTCATGTAGTTTAGAAGCAACTCTTTTGTACCTTCGTATAAGGTATATACCCTTATACCCAGTGAGAAGTAGTGAGTACAGAATTAGCCTCACAGTCAGGAAGTCATAGGTTCATCCTGGCTGTGTGATCCTGTACAAATCACTTAGCCTCTCTGTTCTTACGAACTCTCTAAGACTTTAAGTTAGAGAGAAGGTGCAAGGATGGATTAGTAGAGAGATTTCCTGTACTGATGAAACCATAGGTTCAGTCCATATTTCTATGCATCCTTGAATAACCAAAGGAATCTATGGCCACGCTCACTTAGGACTGTTTCCCATCGTACAACTTTAGTGTTCTTAAGGTTTAAATTCTCCTTCAAGTTTTTTATGTGGCATCATCATAATTCTATTTTGCTCATCCCAAATAGGCTTTCCTGGTTAATTTTGCCCTTCGACACTGGTCCATGCTCCCTGACCCCATCACCCCATGAGCAGCATTAGAGATGCCATGGTAGGGCCTTTGTTGGAAAACTGTGTAAACCTGGGCACCAGTGGCTCTGGGCTTTGGACCCAAGAACATACCTCACTATTCCTCAGGCTGAACCCAGTGGGATGGTGGGAGTGAGGGAGGAGGGAGGCCACATGTGACATCTGTCCATACCTTTCTATTTTGTGTTTGGATATGAGTATCAACAAGCCATTCCATCTCATTCTAGTGCCATTCACCTGGATTTGATCCTAAATTTGGATGCTATTCTTCAATGGCAGAAATGAGAAACACAAATGATAATGGGCCTAGCCGTAGATGCAGCAGCACATGCGTTTAGATGCAGCACTCTCTCTCTCTCTCTCCATCTCTTTGTCTGTCTGTCTGTCTCTCCCCCCCACCTGTCTCTTGCTAGCTGTCATAAAGACAGAGAACAGAATGCTGTGTGTGTGTTTGTGTGTTACCATTCTGTTATCTCTCCTTATGAAATAGTTGGTCTTTAAAGGGTGATCCCAGCACCAGTATTTCAAATGGTGAAAGTCTAGATGTCAAAGAGGACCTCAAAGGTCAACTAGTCCAACACCTTCATTTTACAGGTAAGAAAACTAAAGCCCCAGGAATTGACATGAGGTATCCAAGGCCATCTAGCTGTTTATTAGCAATATTGACCAAAAGTCCTAACTCCAGAGTCAGTGGCCTGAGGAAGTACTAAGAGGTGAAGGATGGGAGACCATTATGAGAGTGAAAAATAGGAGGTATAAAGCTCATAGAAAAGTGGAATGATAGAAGCTTAGGGTCATATAGGAAAATGTCAATTTCTAAATAGGAAAGTGTTGTTGGAACACTCGTAGGTAGTGAAGAGACCTAGTGTATGACTATTGTATGTATGGCTGAGATAGAGTGAAGGAGTGTAGTGGTTATGACTTTTAAACAGGATATAGTATTGGGAGTTTAGGGGGTTTGAAAGAACATCTTATGGATATGAAAGTCCCCTAGTATAAGAGCAGGAGTTGGGGAGGATTGGAAGATGGTGAGCCAGGTGCTGAACTGTAGAAAACAAGGGGTGTGTCACTTATAAAAATTCTCAAATCTGTACACTTAGAAAACATGGAAACAGACTTTTATAACATATTCTAAAAATCCTACAAAGGAAGAATTTTAGTGGGTTTGGAACTCATTCATCAAAATTACAAGAGTGTAATACCTTCCAGCCAGTTTGCAAGAATCAATTAACATCAGGGAAGATGAAAATCTACCAGCAGAATTTCAACCAAAAAACCCCTTTGCTTAATTGGTTGTTAGGATTCAAAACTGAGTATCATGATTACAGTAAGCATAGCCAGTGATGCATTTCTTGCACTTGAAACAAAAACATCATAAAGAAAGTTAACAGATGTCTAGCACCTATTACATGCCAGGCACTGTTCTAAGCATTCTGTAAATATGATTTCATTTCATCCTCACTACAAACCTGGGAAATTTGTGCTGTTATCATTACTATTTTACAGACGAGGAAGCTGAGGAAAACAGAAGTTAAGTGACTTACCCATGGTCACACAGTTAGTTTGAGGCTAGATTTAAACTCGGTTCTAGTGCTCTGTCCACCTGCCCCACCTAGCTTCCCTACTCCCCCTTCTCCATAGCAAAATAAAGCGTATTCAATCACATGGCTCTCACTAAAGTATTATTAGTAGTAATATTTTAGTGATGGCAGAAAGAATTTTTGTCCCGTCAATTTTACTTTTATTTTTAAAGTATTTCATCTTTAAATCATTCTTTAAAATGTCTTGTTGTGTAAATTTTATAATGTACATAATTATAGTAGTTCCTATAAATAATTTACAAATAAGAGAATAGATACCTATTTGGAGTGTATGCTCAAAACTGTTTTGTAGGAGTGTGTAGTAAAAAGAGTTGAGAGTCTGTTGTCCTGCACAGTGAACTCTAATGGTTCCACGTTGCCTTTAAAATTAAGTATAAGCTGCTTTGTCCACCTACACCCAAGCTGCCTTTACAATCTTATTGTGCATTATTCCCCTTCTCATACTTTCTGATCTGTCCAAATTGGTGTTCTTGCTGCTGCTCACACTTACTAATCTATCTTTCATCCCTATGTCTTTGCATAGGTTTGTGCCCGCATGCCTGACCCTCTTTCCTTGCCTCTACTTAGAATTCCTTGTTTATTTCAAAACACAGTCCAAATGACACCTCCTACATGAAGCCTTCCCTTCTACTCCCATTATATTGCTCTTAGTAAGTAACATTCCCCAAAGAAAAAATCACCTCATGTTTATGTTGGTGCTTGTATTCTTTCCAAATAGAACATAAGTTCCTTCAGGACAAGGACTATTTCATTTTTCTTTGTCTTTGTGCCTGTAGCAACAGCACAATGTCTGGCTCTTAATAGATGTTTGTTGGTTAATTAGCATTATTATTTGTAAACCCAAGTCAGGATTGTATGCTTGACCACTGTTCCCCAAACCCACCTACACACACACACACACACACACACACACACACAAATTACTTAACCTTTAGACTATGATTTAGGATGATAAAAAAACACCAGGCTCAATAATACATCATTTCATATTTCTTAAAAGCCAGACCCGAGCGTGATACCCTTGCATTGACTTAGCTTATTGTCATGGACATACTAGTTGTACCTGGGCCAAGCTTTGAATGAAGAAGGGAGTGATGATGAAGACAGAAGAGAGATAATGGAAGAGAGTGTGCCCCAAAGCCTTTGGGGTCACCCAAGTCAGTACCTTGAGAGGGGTCCCTTCCCTTGTGTCCTGGCCAGATGTTGCCACTTCTTGACCCAGGTGCTACACTCAGTTACTTGTTGATTCCCAAGGAAAATGAAGAGACAGACTGATTGTATCTTGGTCTAATAAAGGAGCCGGGCTTCAATATGTCCCTCCTACTTTTTGTCTAGTGGGGGAAGAAAGGAAGAGTTTCATGAAGAAGGAATTGCTCCAAGTTAATCCTGAACCAAAACTAGGACAGATGCTGCCTGTGAAATGTTCTCTGGAACATTGTGATGTATTATCCTATCTTTCCCTAGGAAAGGATAGGGGTAGAGTCATTCAAAAGCTTCATTTTAGTTTTCAGAAATTTAACTCTAAAATGTCTAGGATCTATTTTTTTATATTTTTCTAAAGAAAAATAACTCAATTAAACATCTAAGATTCATTTACTATTTTATGCATCATCAGATATTTTCTGCTCTTGGGACCCTGATTAACTGTTTTTTTGCATGTTTCAATTCCTTATTTCACAGTTTGTTTTTTTTTCATTAGGGGAAAAAAAGTTGAGTCATGGCTAAGGGGATTTCTTGACTAAATTAAAAAAAAATATTTCTATCCTGATCAGTGAGGGCAAGTTTTCTATTAGTTGGAGAAGCCAATAAAGCGTGTTTTATTGTTTGCATGTTTCAATTCCTTATTTCACAGTTGTTTTTTTTGATTAGGGGAAAAAAAGTTCAGTCATGGCTAAGGGGATTTTTTGGCTAAATTGGAAAAAAAATTTCTTTCCTGATCAGTGAGGGCAAACTTTCTATTAGTTAGAGAAACCAATAAAACATTCTATAAGATAAAGGAAAAATTAGAAAGCAGGATTTTCTAGTTTTTTGTTAGTGTTGTCCTTTCTAGGCATTTTCCCCATTTCAGTTGCATGATCAAGAAAATGAGAAATAGTTATCTTTTATTATACTCATTATATTCAAAGTGCCTACACACTGTTGTAAAAATGTTTCCTCCTGTGTCCAAGTTAAGACTACCGAAGGAATGACCAGTGGGATTGTGAGGCTAGCAATATAACCTTGAAGTTGTTCAAGAAGACCTGAGTTCAGATCCTACCTCCAAAACCTAATGGCCATCAATAAACCTCTCCAGGCCAGACAGCTTTCTAAGACTCTAAATTACAAATGTATTGTCATTAACACAATCAGTTTTACATTATTGTGTCCATCCTCATTTGCCCATGTAATATATTTATTATTACTTTTAATCCAACATTAATAGTAAGCATTCCTGACTCCATGCAAAATGTGGGCTCACCCTTCCCACCTCCCCACCCCCCACCCATGATGCTGCTTGCCAACACATTTAGTTCAAGAGCCACAGATGAACACATATAACCTCGTAAAGGCAAAGGCGGTTGGGGTGGGTGGATGGATTGTCATTCTTAACATATAGGACATTGGTGTGATAATTGGTATCAAAATAAGTGCTGTGCCAGTCATAGAACAATCCATAATATTGTCTTTTCATGGGAATTGAGGTAATCTTTTGAAAGCCCAAAATGTGACACACACTGAAACCGTAATGCTGATTTGATTAGTGATGCAATCGGCAACGTTTACTTCCCCAGTTTCCCATTTCCCTTAAAATACCAAGATCTGAGATTCTTCTGAATTTTTAGCCATTTGAGGGAGGCCTTTGGGGGTCAGGCTTCTGCTTTTGTAGATTTTTTTCTTCAGTACCTTGAAACTTCTGACTTAGAGCCATTAATTTTTGAGGAAAAGAAAGAATGAAAGAAAGAAAAGGAAAGAAAGGAAAAAGAAGGGAGGAAAGAAAGAAGGAAGGCAAGAAAGAAAGAAAAAGAAAAAATAGCTTTATAGCCTTTATGTGGATTTTTTTGGTAACGTGTTATTATTGGACGTGGCGTTCTTGTACCATACCCCTATGGTGTATCTTTTAGTACTTATCTTTTAGTTTATCACACCTCCCTAAAAATAACTCTAGAGCTTCAAGAAAGTCTTTTTTTATTTTTTAATGTATTTATATTGATTTATTTGAGTTATCAACAATCACTTCCATAAGCTTTTGGGTTTTAAATTTTTCTCCCCCTCCCTCCAACCTCCCTCCCCAAACAGCATGAAATCTGATATAGGCTCTACATATACATTCCTATTAAACATATTTTCACATTAGTCATGTTGTAAGGAAGAATTAGAACCAATAGGAGGAACCACAAGAAAGAGGAAACAAAGCAGAAGAAAAAAAAAGAGCAAATAGTATGCTTCAATATGCATTCAAACTCCATAGTTCTTTTTTTGGATGTGGATAGCACTTTCCATCATGAGACTTTGGAGTTGTCTTAGATCCTTGCATTGCTGAGAAGAGCTAAGTCTATCAAAGTTAGTCATCACACAACAAGGCTGTTACTGTGTACAGTGTTCTCCTGATTATGCTCACTTCCCTTAGCATCAGTCCATGCAAGTCTTTCCAGGTTTTTCTCAAGTCCACCTGCTCATCATTTCTTATAGCACAATGGTATTCCATTACATCCATATACCACAACCTGTTCAGCCATTCCTGAATTGATGGGCATCCCCTCAATTTCCAATTCTTGGCCACCACAAAAAGAGCTGCTATAAGTATTTTTGTATATGTGGGTCCTTTTCCCATTTTGATCTCTTTGGGATACTGCCCTAGAAGTGCTATTGCTGGGTGAAAGGGTATGCACATTTTTATAGCCCTTTGGGCATAGTTCCAAATTGCTCTCCAAAATGGTTGGATCATTTCACAACTCCACCAACAATGCATTAGTGTTCCAGTTTTCCCACATCTTTTCTCACATTTATCATTTTCCTGTTGTTTTTTTATGTTGGCCAATCTGATAGCTGTGATGTAGTATTGCAGAGTTATTTTGATTTGCATTTCTCTAATCAACAGTGATTCAGAGCATTTTTCATATGCCTATAGATGGCTTTAATTTCTTCATCTGAGAACTGCCTGTTCATATCCTTTGACCATTTATCATTTGGGGAATGACTTGTATTCTTATGTATTTGACTATATATTTTAGAAATTGGGCCCTTATCAGAGATACTGGTTGTAAAAATTCTTTCCCAGTTTTCTGCTTTCCTCCTAATCTTGTTTGCATTGTCTTTGTGCAAAAACCTTTCAATTTAATGTAATAAAAATTATCCATTTTGCATTTCATAATGTTCTCTGTCTCTTGTTTGGTCATAAATTCTTCTGTTCTCCATAAATCTGACAGGTAAACTATTCCTTGCTCTCCCAGGTTGCTTATATTATCAACCCTTATATCTAAACCATGAATCCATTTTGACTTTATTTTGGCATATGGTGTGAGATTTTGGTCTATGCCTAGTTTCTGCCATACTCTTTTCCAGTTTTCCCAGCAGGTTTTGTCAAATAGTGAGTTCTTATCCCAGAAGCTGGGGTCTTTGGGTTTATAAAATAGTAGATCACTTTCGTCATTGACTACTGTGTCTTGCATATTTAACCTATTCCACTGATCCACCTCCCTATTTCCTAGCCAGTACCAAGCAGTTTTGATGATTGGTGCTTTATAATACAATTTAAGATCTGGAATTGCTAGGCCACCTTCCCCTGCATTTCTTTTCATTAGTTCCTTGATATTCTGGACCTTTTGTTTTCCAAATGAATCTTTTTATTTTTTCTAGCTCTATAAAGTGATTTTTGGTAGTTTGATTGGTATGGCATTGAATAAGTAAATTAGGTTAGGTAGAATTGTCATTTTTATTATATTAGTTCAGCCTACCCATGAGCAACTGATGTTTTTCCAATTATTTAGATCTGACTTTATTTGTGTGGAAAGTGTTTTGTAATTGTGTTCCTATGGTTCCTTGGTTTGTTTCTGTAGGTAGACTCCTAAATATTTTATAACATCTACAGTGACTTTAAATGGAATTTCTCTTTCTATCTCTTACTGTTGAACTTTGCTGGCAATATATAGAAATGCTGATGATTTATGTGGGTTTATTTTATAGCCTGCAACTTTGCTAAAGTTGTTTATTATTTCAAGTAGTTTTTTACTTGATTCTCTAGGATTCTCTAAGTATATCATCATGTCATCTGCAAAGAGTGATAGCTTTGTTTCTTCTTTGCCTATTCTAATACCTTCAATTTGTTTTCTTCTCTTATTGCTAAAGCTAACATTTCCAGTATGATATTGAATAACAGTGGTGATGATTGACATCCTTGTTTCACCCCCGATCTTATTAGAAATGCATCTAGTTTATCCCCAGGTTTTAGGTAAATGCTACGTATTATTTTAGGAAGACTCCATTTATTTCTATGCTCTCGAGTGTTTTTAATAGGAATGGGTGTTGTATTTTGTCAAAAGCTTTTTCTGCATCTATTGAGATGATCATGTGGTTTCTGTTAGTTTTGGTGTTGATATGATCAATTATGCTGATAGTTTTCCTAATATTGAACCAGCCCTGCATTCCTGGTATAAATCCTACCTGGTCATAGTACATTATTCTTGTGATAAGTTGCTATAATGTATTTGCTAATATTTTATTTAAAATTTTCGCATCTATATTTATTAGGGAAATTGGTGTATGATTTTCTTTCTGTTTTGACTCTTCCCAGTTTAGGTATCAACACTATATTTGTATCATACAAAGAATTTGGTAAGACTCCATTTCCACCTATTTTCCCAAATGATCTATACAGTATTGGAATTAATTGTTCTTTAAATGTTTGATAGAATTCACTTGTAAATGCATTTGGCCCTGGAGATCTTTTCCTAGGGAGTTCATCAATGGCTTGTTCAGTTTCTTTTTCTGAGATGAGGTATTTAAGTATTTTACTTATTCTTCTGTTAATCTGAGCAAATTATATTTTTGAAAATATTCATCCATTTCACTAAGACTGTCAAATTTATTTGCATACAGTTAGGCAAAATAGTTCCTAATTATTGTTTTAATTTTGTCCTCATTGGTGGTGAATTCATCCTTTTCATTTTTGATACTGGTAATTTGGTTTTGTTCTTTTTTTTTTTAAATTAAATTAACCAAAGGTTTATCTATTTTATTGGGTTTTTTTCATAAAACCAGCTCTTAGTTTTATTTATTAGTTCAATAGTTTTCTTAATTTCAATTTTATTAATCCTTTTTTTGCT